GTCTGCAAATTTGGCTGGTCCGACCACTGGTCTGAACACCTGTGGAGCCTCAGAGTCCAGACTATTAGATTAATCTGTCAGTCACTCTATATAACAGCCTGTCCTCCTCTCCATCCTGGTCTGACACTCCCTTCCCAAGCTTGGTGTGTAGCTCCAAGATCCAGTTTCACCGGAATGTAAACAGTGTCTGAATCCCCCAACTTCCCCGCTTTGCTTCCGCTGTGAGTGCACTTCGGGTATATCGGCTGCTTGAAAAGTAATTATCCTCACTTCCCACCTGATAAATTAAAGACCCCCAGGTTCTCTGCTTAATGGTGCAGAGCGATCCAAAAGTGATTCTCCTGCAGAAGCTGTTAGGAGAATGTCCTAGCAACCCCACACCCCTCTGGACCTCATTGTGCCGGGACGACAGCCCATTAATCAGCCCGACCTGGCTTGGAGATGGCAAAGGTCGTGCTGCGTGGAGTCTAATCGGAAAAACAAATTCCACCCCTCTGGAGCGCTTCCTGGCAGGGACGAAGGGGGAGACTCGCTTGGCTTCACACTTAAGTACCTTAAGTATTTTTCCAAGGCTAGAAGACAACTGATGTAAAGGGTTTGTACTTCAAACAGAGGAGCATTTCCCATGGGCTCTGTCTACACTGCTCTGAAGTGTGTTTTTGGGAATGACGGGGAGAATGAAGAGCTCCCAAATTGACCCACTTTGTGTCTGCTCAGCTGCTTCCCGGGGAAGCAGGGATCAGACCTGCTGGAACACATTTGGCCCCAGATTTGGTGAGTACTGACCTTGTTCAGTGCCTGGCAGATTTGCTGTCTACAAGCACAGATGAAAAGAGTGTTCTCCGGCTTGGGATAGTCCTGAAAATTCAATGTGGCTTGTCCGTGGTTTCCACTTAAGAAAGTCTGAGCCACATCAAACCAAAAGTCCAGTTACCCCAAACCTGCTCACAGACAGAGGTCAGTAGTAGATGTCTGGGGAAATATGATGCTTCCCAGTAGCTCAGAGGTACTACATCTGTGATTAGGACTCTTTGATGGGTTTGTTTTTCCCATTTATCTGTCCATCCAGGTTTTAAGTCCATGCAAGCTTTTTCTTCCATGTCAGAGCTACATTGTTCAATGACTCGTTACATGAAGTGCCTCTTTTTCTTAATTCTGTACCTGCCTCCTTTCAGCAGTACATTATGAGGGCCAAACTACAACCATTCCCTATTCGTCTTCTCTGTTTAGATCTCTGCAATAACCTCTTTCATTTGTAGAGACGTGCTCTTTCCTTACTTGTGACCATATCGGAAATTTACATCCTTTTTGATTTCAGTCTGTGCTATGCAGGAGGCTGGGATAGTTTATTGCAGTGGACCTTAAATGCATGAACCCAGGAAACAGTAACATAAATTAGGTGATCTGTCCATGAAAATATCTCCACCCTGGCAGGTGGTGTTCACAGTCTGATAAGCCAAGGTAAAGTCAAGCCAGGAAAAACAATGGGTAAGCTGAAATATGTTTTTGTGTTGGCTTAGTGCAGGGAAAAAAACAAAACAAAACAAAACAAAAAAGCACCTCTGGTTGTCTCATATCATGCTTGATCTTTCTGGCCCAAGAAAGCAGTCCTGTAGATGTAGGACTGAACACATTGGCAAGCACAGAAGTTGCTGCCATTTGGCTCCCTGACAAGAATAGCATTGTGCTATAGTTTGTTGTTTTCTGATAGAGTATGGAACAACTGTATGCAATTTATCTGCTGATCCTTTGGCATAAAGTGGCATGTTTCTTCATCACTAAGAAAACAATCCTAACGCTGACATCACTACAGCTGCATCACCCTACCCACTTTGTCCATCCACTCTGGCAAGGGTTTGTGTGTATGTGGGGGTGACCCCAGCAGTGATGTTTTCATTGTAAGGGAAATAGATCAGCACTTTATTATTAATATTTTTTTTTATTATTATTTTTTGTGCTGATTGGTTCAGTGTCCACTTTTCCTTTAGCAGTCTAAGCCTCTTGTCCTCGCTGCAGGTATAACACTATCAGGTTTGTACGACCAATGTCTCTGATGCTAGTTGCTGATACTGAGTTGTGCTTTACCCACCTATCCTCCAATAGTATAAGGACAACTTTATTCCAATATAAGAATGACAGATGTCAAATCCTGCATCAAGTCTTTTAGTCTAGATTTTTTAGTCTGACTTTACATCTCTTTTCTGTTTCTACCGAAGGTTCTTCTCTTTGGTTTCGTGGCCATCTTGAAGTTCTACTTCCCCTCATGCACTTGAACTCCCTGTTCAGGAGGACAGTAATGACCATCCAGCTCTAGTGTGCTTGAGACAGCCAGGCAGGGACTGAGGGTGTTGAATGCAACCCTCAGCTCTTTCAGCAATCCCATACGTGATTCAAGTGCCCCAAAGGCCTTGGAAGCTGGAAGTCTCAATTGCTCTCTTGAACTCTGACATCCCAGTAGGCTTTTAACCCTATTTTAGGTGCTGCGGAAGGCAGTCAGGCTACGTCTTATTGTGCCTCTGCTTCCTTAGGTGAGCAGTAGCCCTGCTGTATTTCAGAAAGGGGCTAAGCAGTCATATCTCCATGTAAGCAGTGAGGTATTCACACAATAGCACTGAGAACCAGAGAGAAATATTCCATGTTCAGACGTAGCCGTGTCTAACTGCCTTGGCACAGCATTATCTCTGGAGCTTAGGGCTTTGCCACCCATCTTGCGGGGAACTGACAGAGAGGAGTGAAAAAAGCAAGGATTGGCATTTGTGGAGGTGTTAAACGAGTGAATAATGTGAAGAAGAAGGCTGCCCTGGTTCGTCGGGCAAGAGGCTAACCAGGAAATTTCCCAAGGAATGGTTATGGCTAGGCACGAATTTCCTGTGCTTCCTGTAAACTTTTGGTGGACTGGATTTTAATGGTATTTGTAGGTGGTGGATAGCCAAGCAGTTTGCTCATGTGTGAATCCTGTTTTTGTGCCTGCTTTTTTTGCCCTCTTTCTTGCTCCTGGAGGCTGGGAACATGTTTGTACCTCTGGCTTACAGCTGTACTTTGAGCTGTCCCAACAGTATCTCCTTTCTAACCTAGCTTGAATTTCAAGCCCATCCCCAAAGAAAGGATGTCCCCATTGCTACAGGCTAAAATACACACAGGCAATCCCGTTCTGTCCTGTCTCAGGTGAAGGACAGAAGGCAAAAGGAGCATTTCTGGAGGGAAGGGAAAGCAGAGACAGTCTACAGGCTAAAGGCAAGAGGCTGTGGCAGGTGCTTCTCATCTGGGAAGGGTGGAGTTGCACAGAGTCATGTTCTGCTGCCAGTGCAGAGAAGAAAAGCTCCTGCCAAATACCGTCACCTCTGCTCTGCTATACATGGCCTCCTGAGTGTACTGGGATGCTTCTCCAGGCTAACAGCATCACTATCCATAGCTTGTGAGCAGGGTGGGGAGCTCTGGAGTTTGTGGTAGCAGTACTGCTTGGTACTTACATGGGAGACATTGGTGTGGGGAGAACTGAGTCACAGCTTGTACTCTCTACTGCCGACCCTCCCAGCTGCTGGCTCGCAGACTATTGCTGATCCCTGAGAACTCAGAAGATGGCCCATGAGATAGCAGAGAAACAAACCCATAGTTGTCTTCTTGCAGAGCCAAGGTCCGGCCTCTTTCCTGGGAAAACACAGAGGAGGTCTGGAATTCACTGGAGCCTGCCAAACATGAGGGGTAGCAGTGAATGGGTCAAGGTGCCAGTCTTTGCTGAGGGCATCGACACCAGCTAACCACAAGAGAGAAAGGAGGGGGTTATGGGGAAGAGCCTGCCAACGAATTAGGGAGCTGGAGGGAGATTTCTGAGAAGCCCAGAAAGTATTTTGGAAATGGAGACCCAACCCAGCGTGGCAAATGCAGCATGACACTCTTTAACACAGCATGGGGAAAGCAAAGAGCAGCCCAGCTGCTTGGATACTCGACACCAGGATCATGCTCAGCCGCTCCGTTCCCTGGTGCTGCTTGCAGTTGATGACTGAGGGCCATTTCCAGCATGGGATTTCATGTACGGAGCCCTTTCAGTGTATGGCAACTGCTGAGACTTTTGGAGGGGGTGACTCGGTTACAGGCCAGGAAATGAGCACAGGGAACTGTTGCTAGAAACCAAGCTGAAGCACGTGAAAATAATAAAATGGATGTCCAAACTGGGACCTCTCCTGGGGCCGCGCAGCGCTGACAAGCTGACCCTGGATGTGTCGCATCTCTCAGCTTCACAGCTCCTGACGCACGGCACCAGCTCTCCCATATGTCAGGAGTCACATTCCCCGCTGCTGGAATGCAGCCACCTCTGGAGCAGAACCCAGCAGCTGTTTAAAGAATTGACAGAAACAAACCAGGGACAGGATGCGAAGACACAGCCAAAGTGCAGGGGAAAACAAGGGAGGGAAAAATGTCAACCAAGTCCACTGGGTGAGTGTGATGGTCATAATAGCAGGGACGGAACTCATAATCGAATGATAAAGAGCACGGGAAGTTACCAGAGGTAATGTACCCATTAGCTGGGTTTACCCATTAGGTAATGTACCCACCTGCATGTTTCCAACTGGCCTGAAGCAAGCAGAGGAGTACAACTTAGCTTAGACCCTTCTTTTACATATTAAGCTCTACTATGCGTTGTACATGACACCATGATAACCCAAAGAGAAGCACGACGCCTCTGTCTCTGCTGGACAAAAAATGTGGGTTTTGGTTTCTCCCTTCAAGCCAGGCTCACCTTTAGCTCAAGCCCTTAACCTGTTTCCAGTTTTCACAGTGCTTTCCCTGAATGCTGAAAGAGGGATAGCTTTGAAAATAACATAGAAACACCCTAAAATGCCATTCAGTCAGCAGCGATGCCATTCAGTCAGGCTTAGTAGCCTGTCATTCAGAGGTGCTGGTGTGAGTTTTATCTGCTGAAACACGAACCATGCAGAGGAAGGACCACTGCATATGAATCGCTCCCCAGTAACCTGCTCCTGCCTTTTTTTCTGCTGCAGAAAAGAGACCACACCGGATTGTAGGATAATTCATACTGGAAGAGTCCTCGGGAGTCCTGTGGGTCTGCTTGTTGACTCTGGAGCACCAGTGGCATCTTGGTCTGGCACAGCAGAGCTCCTGTTACATCCTCCTGCTCCAGCCCAGTCCTGGGTATTCATTAGAGTCAGTCGAGAGTATCTGGACTGGCAATTACCTCCAGACTCCAGCTCAAAAGGAATTCATTAGAACGGAGACTGCTGTGCAGAGACATCCGGGGCTTTGTGTGGCGGCGCCCATCTGAGCAGGCTGGCCCTTGGAAAGAGGTGGAGCAGGGAAGGCTTTGGGGTGGATAAGGGAAGAATGCAGAGACAGGAAGCCCTGAATACCCACAGTGCCACTGCCCCTGCCATTTCAGTTGAGAGAACATCTCCGGCTCCCTGCACGAGGACTGCCCCTCACCACCATTGTATCTGGCTACCTGGAAAGCCATTTGCAAGCCTTCCCCGTTGCATCCAGTGTGCAGCCACAAGAACAGCAGCCATCTGGATCCCCTCCAGCTGTCCAGTGAGAGAAAGGGAAAAGCAGTTAGTAGTAGCAGAGAAAAGGGGAAAAAAAATAAGAAAAGGCCAGAAATCATTTTTCCTGGCACACTATGACGCACAGATTTGGGAATGAGGGTTGTGAAAGCTTTTTGTTTAGCTTATTCTTTTCTGGTCTGACAGCTGATAAGTCCCACAGCTCAGAAACATCTGACAGGACTGGCTGAAGTCAATTCATCTTTCATCTGCCCATCACGCTCCTGAAGCGGAGAGTGACAGGGCTGCTCCTGCTCCATCTGAATGCCGCTCTCTCTCCTTCTCCCTCTTTCGTGTGCTGTTGTTTGGAGCTTGGGAAAACCAGTTTCCTTCCTGCCTGCAGTCCTCTCCCCAGGTTCAGGGCAGCGTCCGTCTGCCCTTGCACCTGCTCCGTCCAGCTGCAAGCTGCCTCTGCTGCAATCATTTGCACTCGACCCAGCAGCAGGCTGATGGGGCCCCTCCGGCTTCCCCTCAACTCCTTTCCCTGTCATATTTTCCTTGCTGCTCTTGCAATTAGCGCGCTTGTTCGTTGCTCCTCTTGCTAGCTCCTTCTGCTTTCCTGGCACGCTCCCCTGTCAGCCTCCCCCAGCTCCTCGTGCATTCCCTACACCAGCAGCTCTCAGATGGGGTTTTCAAGGCATCGCTCCCTTGCTCAGTGCTCGGTCCCCACAAACTGCAGAGTATCCACCTTGCAGGTGCAGAGATGTAGTCCTTGTGTCCTTGAGCATCTTCCATGGTTAGATCTTCGCTGGCACATAGTAACTCATGGCATTGCCTCTTCTCATTGGGGAGAAGACCCTGGTGTTGACCCTTTAGGTTGGATCAGAAAAAACTTTTCACTTGAGGCCATGTATCATCTAGCATATGATGTGTAGGTTTTTGGTGGGGCATTTCCGCTTGCTGATGGAGGAGAGAGAAATATTACAGGTAGCAAAAGAAGAGCCTAAGACCCCAAGTTACTGAAAAGGGATTTTTTATTCCAAAGGTGGGTTTTCTGGCCATAGACTGCTGGAAAACAAAACAAATGGAACAATTAAGGAAAAAAAAAACACAAAAGAAACAAACAAAAAAAAACAAAACCCAAACACGTTTATTAATGATTGGGATTATAAATGGTACTGTCCTTCTACATAAATTTTCACAGTTAGGAAAAATCTGAATGACACTTAAAAACAAGAACAACAAACCACTCTCCAGGCTGCCGGGAAATCTCGGTTTGCTTCCTGCAGCAGAAAATCAATGACTTGATTTCATTTGAATTTGACAGGCTGCGTCTCCCAAATAAGGCACCCCATTGGACACACTTGTAAGGCTGTTTCAGCAGACTCCCTGCTTTGCATCACAAGGCGGTTGTTCGGGTCCCCAGTGATTTGTTTTCTCATGCAAGTGTTTTGCTGGAGAAAAACAAGCACCTGTTTTGCGAAACAGGACCTCTAACATTTAATTTACTCATTTCTTTTAACAGGCTCCACATCGTGAATTTATCTGCTGTGGGTTCTGCAGCCCGTGCTCCCACAGCTCCCCCACTCATCATCCCTTCCCAGATTCAAAATTATGTGGCCGGGTTATGTCTGGCCACCAGCTGGGCCCCAAAGCCCTTGGAAGAAGCTTGGCTGAATCCTCCCCATATCGCATGGTTGGTCTCAGAATATCTGTTTATATCCTGCAAATTTGCGCGATGCGGCCCCTTACCAGGATCCCCACAACTTTACAAGCAGCGACACAAGTCTTGCCGGGCCAGCCAAGAGCTTGTATAGACTGATAAAAGTGGTGGCAAAATCAATCTCAGCTCAGTGCCCCTGGTTGTATCTTTCCAATGCGGCTTGAACAACAGAGGAAAAGGGAAAGAAAGGAGCAGGGGGGGAAAGAAAGAGCCTCAAGTATTTTGTTGAGTTGCCGGATCTGGTTCAGCGCCATTAAGAAAGAGGATATTGAAGAGTGCTTTTCATTCCACCATTTTGCAGTGGGTAATTGCTTTCCACACGGTGCATTGGGTTTTGATGTGAGTCCAGCTGCAGTAACGCAAGTTACGGCAAGGGCTGTTCCAGTGCAAATGTGTTATTTGAGTGTCTCTTTGCTCACACTATGACTAAACAGAAGCAGCTGTGGCCAGAGGGCCATCAGTGCTCTGTATCACACAATCTGGCATTTCATGGAAAGTTTTCGTGTTTTCAGTTGGAAAAACTTTCTTTCATCCATGGCTGGAAGTTTTGAAGAAATTTAAATTTTGCATGATACACAAAAATGCCCCAAGAAACAATTGTCCTTTCCAGAGGGGATACATTGCTGGCACCATCTCAGCCTCTCACATATTATAAGCCTCAGCATACCTAAGAGCCATCACTGTATGTTGGTCAGAAAAGATACCTGTGTGTTTCTGGAGGACATCAGTTTTAAGAAAACATGGTAAAACTTGAGTAAAGGCAGTTTGGAATAAACAAACTACACTGCTAAGTCAGGGCAAGAAGATCACATCAGTATGTGGCCTTATAATCTGTGGGGATGAGAATTTCTTACAGTTCAGCTATTTCAAAACTAGCCTGGAGAAAGCACTGAAGGGAAACAAGCTTGCCTTAGCAAAAGTTTGATAAATGTCTCTACCCTGCTTCAGCTGTAACTTGCACGAAGTTTTAGCTATCAGCAACAAAGAGCCCAGAACATTGGGCGAGCAGCTCTGATTGTCTCCAGGGGAGTCGAGCAAGAAGGGCAAAGATACAGGCTTGTAGCATTTGCAAGATCTGGGGCTGGCTCACAAGGAGCAGCAGCCAAGTCTTTTGGGAAAGATTTTGTACATGAATCCAGGCATCTCTAGACTTATTTATATATTTTAAATTATTTAATTGATTTATTTATTGAGGTTATTTTCAGGCCCTCAGAAGAAGAACATTATTAGAGGGTCTGTTTACAACCTGGACTGCATGGCAAAGCAAGTAAACAAACAAGCAAATAGATGGAAACATGAAGATGGGCCTTTTACATAGGCTCATTTTACATTTGCTACCCTCCTTAGAAAAAAACAAGGAAACAAGAAAGATCTACTGAAGAGAAAATATGGTTCCCCCAAGGTCTCATATTCCTTAATTGCAGCTAGAAGCAAGTGACTTTCTCAGGTTTGATGCAATGAGCCTTTGGGAACCACTGAGATTAAAACTCAGGATCTTGAATCCAACTTTTATTTCCCCCTTGAAATCCTAGACCACACAGCCTTCTGCTTGCAAGTGCATGGGCACATCTATGCACGTGGAGGGGAAGCTCAGTAACACATAGGTGGTCTGCTCTCTCTGAGAGGATACACACGGTAATGGAGATGAAAACCATGAGTCAGTGTAGGGAAGAATGATGCTGGTTCTGACAAGCCAGTCAGCTGCCTGTAGCTTTTGCCCTATGTACCTTATGTCTTTCATTTTCTTATTCAATCTATTTTTTTGACTGGCCTTGATGCTTAAACCATAATTTACTGATAGCTCTCCTTGGTAATTCATTTCACACGTTCATTACAGTCCACTTGGCTATAAACACATATGGATTTCCTTTTTAACTCTTCATTTCCTAAGTTTTGGATAGAGAGGTTCTAAAGCTAAACCACAGGAATGGTCTGTGCAGCTCCAGTTTATTAAATCTACCCCACCAGTGTCAAGTGTCTACAGTGCATACAATTATTTGGGCCATGCTACAGTTATGAGAGAATTCATTTCACCCAAGGGTGGATTAAGTCTGTAGGTGTTTTGTATCAGAATGGTGATATTCATGTTGCAACACGAGATGGAAATGCTGAATTCTTAGGGTCTCCTCAGATCTCAGAACACGCTCAGGAGTTCATGACTTCTAAAGCCAGGTTCAGCCAACTACTTCCTCTCCATATATACCGCATAATCCATGTGCATAAGACTACATTAAAAAAGCTGTATAGCAGGCAAAGGTCAAGGTCCTTTGGGTACTTCATGAGAAGTAAAACCAAAGTGCAATTAACCCCAAACAGGCAGAATGTCTGAATGCAAGAAACAGCAGATGGAAATATGTACAGTCAGCTTTATCAGCAACCTTTTTTATACCCTCAGATGTTGAACATTTTAGACTAGTCTGATCAAGTTAGACAGGAAAAAGGACGGGTAAGTTGACGGTATCTCAGTCTGGCTATATACAGTATTGAGAAGCCAGCAGGCAATTGGAACTACAGGTTAGAGAAACTGCAGAATTCTGAGAGAAGTCCTGTGATTTGTACCTGGAAGTGATCAAGCCCCTGAGGAGTAAAATCCTAGGAGATTCACAGCCTGAAAATTTTCCTAGTCAGACACTTCTGCACTTGACATAAATGGATAAAGAAGAATTCAAAAATCCATTCAAAAATCTGTCTTCCTTATCCCAGGCTCTCTCATGTTTCTCACTTTCTAGTTTGGAACACCTTTCCCATAAAATAAGGTGACAAAAAAGCATGTCCTTACAGTGAATAGCATTCATAATCGGATGAATACTATCATATGTTTGGTTTTCTTCACTTAAGTGTTTTTTTAATTTTTTTTTTTTAATTTTTTTATTTTTAATTTTTATTTTCCCCCTAGGAATGAGGAGTATTTACTGACCTGAGTTTTATCTCAGTCAAAATCTTCACAGGAAAGTGTCTAAGAAGATACTTCTAAAAGGAGGCCTACTGTAGTTATTGAGATCAGACTGCATGGCAAGTTTAGAGAGATGGTTCCTGGCTAAACATGAAGCTGAGACCTAGGAGATTTAAACTCAGTGAGGATTTATTATGACAGACAAGGAAAACAGGACAAAATCCCCAGAATCTTTTTTTTTGACAGGTATCCAGTAGAATCCACAATGATCCATCCAACAGGAAATTTGGGGGCCCAGAAGACAGATTCCTCTTGATGAAGCACATATTTCACTGGTTTTCTTCTTATGTGCTGGTGCTGGTGGATGACTGAAGCCCAACTTCCTGGCCACCGCAGTGGCTGACTCTGCTGACTCGTCTTCAGTTTTTATAAATTCCTTATATCGCGGGCCTATAAGTGTCCAAAGGACTTCAGATGAAACCTCTTCTTGAGTAAAGAGTGAGAGGAAACGATGACTTTCTTTAATAATTTAAAGTCTACTGTCTCACTGTCTCCTTGGCTATTGCTCCTTTTCATAGACAGTCACTTAGACTGTCTAAGAGCTGCTAAGTCCTGTGCAAATCTCTTCTTATTTGCCCCCAAACTGGGCTGCCAAAGAGTCTCTGTCCATCATGGTTACAGGCTGCAAAGACCTTAGGATTTCCCAGCGGTTTTGACGGTTTTGGCGAGACCAATTTTTGCTGTTGCATGTTGCATTAAAGCTCATTAAATCAATAGCAGTGATTCACCAGGGAGGAGGGAGACTAGCCAGTTGTCTAAAACCTAACCTGTAAATATCCAGGGTTGTGTTATGCTTTGCTTTTAGCTGCCAGAGTAGACAAGCAAAAGGATATGTTTTTTTTTCTACTTGTCTTTGGAAGGAGAGAGATTTCCATATGCAACTCATACCATGTAAAACTTAACCTTCCCCCTCAGCCTGGACAAATTTTGTGATAGACAGAAATCATCTTAATGGCTCCTTCTGTCCATAGCAGCCACAGCTCCCTCCCAGCCACAGCTCTGAGTCTTCTTGAGAGTCTGCCTCTCTCACAGGAAATGTCCCACTGCCTGACAAGCAGACAGCATTAAAGAGACAACATGTTCTCAGATAAAATGTTCCAAATATAACAAGTCTATTTTTATTAAATTTGACCAAAGGCCTCCCTGCTTCCTAATCAGAAAGCCTGATTTGCTAACTCCCGCAGACCTAGCTGCACTGTCTCGCTACAGCTGTATCATGAGATAGAATTACATTTTCATAATGACTCAAATCTTTTCCCAAGTCCTTAAGTGTTTTCACAAAAAGGAAAAAAATAAGGAAAGGAGGAAAAAGAAGAAAAAAAAAAAGGAAAGAAAAACCCCACACACCCTCCCGTAAAATCCAGACACCAACCCTGAGTTCTGTGTGGTCTTTTTTTTGTCTTTTCTTTTGGCTTCCCTCAAGACACAGCTTATTGCATTGGTCTGGATAGCGTCCTACCAGCACAGTGAGCTGGCCAAGCCCTGATCCCAACAACAAAGTCACCTTGGCAGGTGCCAAAGTAAACAGTAGTCTCCAGCTACCTGTAGCCACTGCTGACACTGTGCTGTGCGTGTGCAGGATGCATGGCCGGAAAGGCAGTGCCTTCACCCTCCATCCCTTTGATGTTCATCAGACCTTGGACTTTGTCTTTTTTTTATTCAGGGCACTGCAACCTGGAGAGCTATAATAAATGCCCTTTATTTGGAGAAGTTGTACAGACAGAACTGGCTGTAAAATGGACAGAGGATGAAAAATGTGTGTGCACTATAGGGAAGCTGCATACGTGCAAACATGGTTCATGCTTTCTATATTTCTGGGTAACTTTAGCTCACGAGTGTATGTGTGAGTATGTCCTCATGTATACAGCGTATGGGTTGTGTGCCTGCAGGATTTCATCAAATGGACCCCTTTCTGATGTCAACTCTGCTGCTCACAACTGGAAGAGCTCCTCTGGCAGCCAGTCCAAAGCTTTTTGATCATACCGTTTCCATTGGATTTATAAGGTGCAGCTAAAATCAGGAGCCATTCAAAGTCATGAATGACATAAAAGGTAAAGTTACAGCTTGCGCTGAAATTGCTCAGAAAATTACAGGGGTTGAATGGGGAAGGGGTCCAATGCAGCCCCTTGCATGCACCAAAGGGGCTGGTGCTGGCAGGCGCACAGGAGCACTGCTTTGTTCCCCTTCGTTTTACAAGCTGCGGTGGTTGTTTTTCCACATTCCACCATATAAAAAAATGACTGGGTCTCAAAGACCTGCTTCAAAGTCAGTTGAAAGACTGCTAATGACTTGCTTGGACTACAGAGCCTTCTTTGCTCGTATGGCTTCAATTTGACTCCTGCTTTTTGATTGCGTGAGTGGGCAGACCTGACTGGCTTGGGAGACTTGTCCTGTCCTGGAAACGTGCCACACCTGCCCAGCTGTTTCTCTCAGTGTCTGCTAGAATCATTCCTTATAAAAGATGAATATGAGTTAAAACAAACAAATGCCGAGGGTCTAGAAAAGCCCATCTCTTTCCCTGCCCACACCTCAGCAGATCTATTTAAGGTCGCCACATTTCAACAAGTGAGGACAAAACTAAGCTTTGGAGATGACTTCCAAAATGCATGCAGATGTTAAAGCGCAGTACAAATAATTAAAGATAAAAGCGAATAAAGAATAGTCCAAAAATACAAAATTAACAAAAGGGTTGGAGGGAGGAAAGAGAAACAGCAGTTTCTTTTTTCCCCAATGACTTGTGGAACAGCTGACTGAAATGTCAAAGGGAAACAGGTTTTGGAAGTTGTATTTCAGCTCCACGAACTTGTTTCTGTACCCTTCCCTGGTTCAACATCTGCAACCCATATTTCATCCCTGTAGCGCTCATTGGAGGACTTCGTTTCCCAAGAGCAGGGAAGGTGACACATTATGTTCAGGATACACAGTTCAAATGTGGATTGGAGTTCACAAGGGGAACAGCTTAATGGTTTCAGACAAGCAGTAAGACCTTCAGTGGATGCTGGGCCCAAGCATAACACTCTAATAGCAGGTTCAGAAATCCTACCATGAGTAGAAGCTGATGTACGGTTTATACTGGGTGCATGGGTTTTTCTGATTGTTTTTTGAGTCTTCTTTCCTAAAGAAGCAAAACCTATGCCAGCCCACTTGGTGTCAGTGCCTGCATGGCTGTGTCCAACCAACTGTGCCATACCCAGGACTTTCAGAGTCCTGGTTTCCCTCCCTTCCATGAGTGAAGCAGAGCTCTCAGCAGTGTTACCTTCCTAAAAGCTTTGAGAAAACTTTGCAGCTGGTGAGAGGGCTCTCACTGCCGTGCAGGCAGGAGCATGAGGATGCCTTGTCTTAGACACCACAGAGACATTTTGTCCCATCTGTGGGGAAAACTGTGATGGGAACTTGCACCTTAAGGGGCAGTGGCAGAGAGCAATATTATCCAAAATCAGCATCACTAGTGCCAGCCTTGACAGAGCTGCTGTGAACAACACGTACTGGGAATTACAAGAATACAAGAAAAAATGGTCGAAAGGGCATGCCGGGTGCTGAGCCCCAGGAGTGGATGAAGGGCTTAGGTTCCCAGGCCACCAAGATGGTTTGGAAAGTTTTATTGCTAGTCCATACAGACCCAGAAGCAAAACTGCCAGGATTTATTTTCTTCCTGGAGAGATGCAAAAGAGCAAAGTCCAGAGGCAGTTAACCCAGAGCCACTTAAAAAAGATAAATCTGTTGAAAGTCAGTATTTCCTTAAAGAGCTGGAGGGAGGCTTTTTTCTTTAGGAAAAAAAATCTGTTTCATCAAAAAAGTGCAACTTTTGTTTAAAAAATGAAGATTTTCTTAACCTGATTTTCCCACACTTTATTCCCAGCAAAATAGCAAATGTTAGTGTTTAAATCTGTATTTTAATTTTCTAAAGTATGAAGGAAGGAATAATTCAGTGTTCAGTGGCAGGAAACCACAACAATTTGAGGAGCAATCAGGTTGCTCCCTAAACTAAAATGCATGAAATAAACAAAATAAGTGAATGCATGTTTTTCACATAGGAAAACCCCAAATCACTTCCTAATCAGATGGAACCTACAGCATTTCTTGTGGAGAGAAAACTGTACAGTGTTTTTGCTGGACGCCAGGAGCTGCAAGACTTCTCTCCTGGCCCACCTTCAGCTCTTTCGTGAGGAAGCAGAGTTACCCTGTCAAGTGGATGCAGTTAGCTTCAGTCATGTCACAGGCAAACTTGGTATGTCTCTGGGGAGCAGAAGGAAGGAGTTCATTTCTGAGACAGAAGGCAGCTGGCAGGCAAACTCCAAGAATAGCCACAGGGTCTTCTGCAGGAAAAAGTCCAGGCTCTCTTTACTTGGTTCATTGGGTTTGTTGTTATTCTTTCTTGAGAGACCAGTAGAGCCCCAGAAAGACACAGTGGAGCTGATGCCAAAGCAGAAAGCAGCGGTGCAAAGTCCTGCACAAAGGAGATGTCCAGGTTTCCAGGAGTGCACCCAAAAGCTCCTGTTTGGGGATTTAGGTTTTGGGAGCCTGGTCTGGCAGCCATGCGTCCTGCATCAGCTGACAGTTTCATTTCTCTATCCAAACAAGTGATTCTTTGCATTTCTGCAGCTGAAAGGTGATATTGCAAGAGAGGAAAAAACAAATCAAACGAGGGAAGTGTGTTTCATTTGACAATGGGTCTTTAGAGCCTGCATTTTTTTAGAGCTAGACTCTTAGAGTAAAAAAAAAGAAACAACCCATGTCTGAAATATGTGCAAAATATAGCTCAAACCTAAAAGCTGTAACTGCGTGAGAAAAGTCAGATGTTAAACAATCACAGTTTTATTCCTCCCAGCAAGGCAGCCTGTGCACCTGTAGCCATTATTGTCTCTACTGTATAAAGTGAAAATGAATATCACATTGTATTGAAAACCCTCATGGAATACAATTACTCAACAGGAACTGTCCTAAATCTATCAGCTGTAACTCACTTGTAATTTTGTGGGACTAATGCAGAGAAATGTTTCTCCATGCCTAGTTTGCCCCCAGCCTTTCCCCCCATTAATATATTTCATCCACTTTTGCTTACTATGGCTAAATTACTTGTAAAAGATTAATTACCTATGGGAAGTGTCTGTTTTGGTCTGTAGGAATGACATTATGCTGAACATTAAATGCTGACACTATTAAACTCTGCTGGACATGTTTTGATATAATAACTCTGCAGACCACAAGTGAAATGGGTCCCTCACCAATTCACTACCTCATTGTTTTTCTGTCATCAGCAAACTTTGGGATATAGTCTCAGCCGACGTAGCTCAGAGTTTCATTCATGTCAGCGGAGTAGCTTACTAGGGCTTTTTATTTCCCTGGAAGTTTTTCTGAGTTACCAGATGGAGATAAGAGTCTTTGTTCACCAGTAACCTTGAACTGAGATACAGAAGCTGCCATTTTCCAGGCAGAAATGCAGGCTGGTTGGGAAACTGAGGCTTTTTCAGTTGAAATCAACAGTTCAAAACAAAACACATTTTCCTTTCAGAATTATATTTTCCCACCTTAGAAAGAAGAGAGCTGTTTTGCTTTGGTGCGCAGAAACTGCAAATGTGCAGGTGTGGGTGGCAATTTGGGGGAACTTCTGTCTTCTTTTCCAGCTGGAAAGAGAAGAAGAAGGAATTTGAAAGAAAGGTGATAAAGAATTGGTGGAAAGACTCTAACATCTCCCCCTCCCTCCCTCCTAGTGTGAAAAAATACTTTAAAAATGCTAAGAGATTTTAAAATCTGATTTCTTTCCCTCCAGTCATCCCATTTGTATTTACCTGGTCTCTTGTCTTTCACTTTAAAGGAGCTATTTTCAGCCCTTTTTCCTGTTGATTTGCTGACCTCTCCACACTTTCAGTGCAGAAGTGAACCCTGCAGAGTAGCTTTAGGCCACTGGATTTTGGTTGGTCTCTGTCTCTTCATGGTAAGATACCCGTGTTGATCACAGGTTGAAATCTCCTGACTTGAGAGCAAGACACCTCACCCACAAGCCTTGTCGTATGGATTTTCTTTCAACGGGAATGAAGAAATGCATGACACAGGAATCCCATGTCTTTGTTCGCATTGGCACATATGGGAGCTTTGCCTTTTGGGACTTTCTCCACGAAGGACTGGAAATCAGCATAGCTTCAGCTAAATCAACTAAAAATCAGATTTCTTGATGCCAAGAGGATGTACGTGGCCTCCTTTGAATTACCAGATGAATTTCTTATAGAAAATACACCATCTGGGCTTGGAAAATCTACTTTCAAAACCCAGTCAGCTCCTCTCCTAACAGCTACATTTCTCCTTACCATTGTCCAACCCACCCATGTTCAGGGCACCAGTGACTACTTTTGATCTTTCCCTGCCTGCACTCCCCAAATTCTCATCTGCTGCGTCTATGCAATGCTCACCCCTGACCCCACATTGTCTCTCCTCCAGCTTTATCCCTTGGAGCTGGTTGAAACTCCTCTGGCACCTAGGAGTGGTGTATTTGGTGGTCTCACCACACCAGCATGGTACCCACATGGTTGTATGTGCACAGGTTTGCAGACTCAATGGTAATTAAAACCAGTCCCTCTGCCCCTGACCCTGAGTAGATTAAGCTTGGATCCTGCCTGCCTGCAAATGTACTTGTAAAAAGCAAGGAGTTGAGGTGAGGAGAAGAGAATATGGTGAATCTTTCAAGGATCAGCATTTTAAACTGCAAGCCCTTTTGTTCTGTAATCTGGGATATTCCCCAGCAGTCCACATGGAGAAGAAAAGGGGCATTGTCTGGCGAGTGGCTTCATTACTAATCTCTCCTGGATGCATTTTAATTCATTTTAATGACTCTGCCTCCTGTCAGACCTTTCATTTGTTAAAGGGGTTTGTTAAAGAGATTAAGTGCAAGGGGAATTTGAACCTCAAAACACTACATCCCTTCCCCCTCCCCCAACTCCTCCTCTCTCTCCCCCCAAGATTAATATTACACCAAAAGGAAGAGAAAAGGCATTTTCTGTGAAACACATTACAAGATTTTTAGGAAGAGAGGGAAGGAGGAGGAGCAATGGAGCATGCTGGACTCTTAACCCATGGAGGAGCTGGATGCTGGTAGTATTGATGTTATGCTTTTCCAGCGACATTGTTCCCCATGCATATGTCTATTGAAGCTTTGTGCAAACACAGCTGTTTATTAGGAATGCCAGCTTAGGGAAATAAACCATCTGCCTCAATTTGATTCTACTTCTGGCTTCTACTCATGTGGGAGCTTGGAATAACCTCCCCCACCCCTGAAAAACAAATGTACCATGCAGTAGATGTACTGCATAGAAACCTTTCAACTGAAATCCAGGCCTTCAGCCAGCTGAAGAAATGAGAGAACTTCTTGGTTTCCTGCATCAACTTCCTACCCAAGGATCTCAAAGCCCTTCGCACAGTGTGGGAAGTGGCAAGGTCAACAGAATCCCTGCATGGAACTATGAGTTTATTTTCAAAGTTCACAGTCTCAGTAGACATCCTTTGAGACATGTGTTTCATGGATTTACTAGAAAAATTCCCTCAGCTAGGTCAGTGGACTATTTCAGTCCTTCTCTCAGTCCGCAAGTCCTGAAAACAATTTTTATAGCGCTATGGACTCTTAATCTCCTTAGGACTGAACGGGCCTCAGAAGTTCATGAAAAGGATAATAGAATTAATTGCCATGCAATAGCAGAATGGTGGATTTTGGTCAAGAAGATGGCTTTCTTCTCTACATCCCTCAATTTTCCTCTAATGGCCAACTGGTACATGGTACTATGTGAGTAGCATGTATTTTGTGCAGAATGCTTACACAGAAGATGCATCATATCCTCGTTTGTATTCTTTCTGTTGGCTTTAGAATGGATAGGGTCAGGCTTCCTTGCAGAGGGAAAATCATAAGCATTTCAAAAAAAGAGACATGTGGGATGTTGCCTTTAAGCAGAATGATCAGTTGAGTTGCCATGGAATGGAGTAGGGCTGCTTAGAACAGGTCGGATATTGGACATAATCCAACACAACCATGCTTTTGGGAAAGAGGCAGGTGACATATTATGATGGATAAGTGGGAAAACTACCTGTAAGTATGAAGCAATTCTTCCACTCTTCTTGCTATTAGTAGGGACTCAAGATGAATACTCTGCACAGTTTTGGTTACTGCTTTTCAGGAAAGATGTAGACCAGCTGGAGAGCAACAGGAGTGATTGAAGACCTGACTTAGAAAGAAAAATTAAAAGAAGTAGGGTTGTTTAGTCTAGAGAAGAGAAGCTGAAGAAATCTATGATAAATGTCTTAGTGCACACACAAATTTGTAAAGGAAAATGAACAACTTGTTTTGCCCATCAATGCAGAAAGAGTGAGAGGCAATGGGTTAAAACTGAAGCAAAGGAGAATAGGTTGGAAATAAAGGAAACCTGCTTAGTATTATGTACAGAAGGACAAAGGACAACATTAGTGACTTGTGGGAGACATGTCAATCACATGGGGAGATACATCAGGACTTGTGGAATGGCTAGTCCTAAGAGCTGGAAGAGGAAGTTATAAATGGCACAGGTATAACCATTACAGGGTGGAATGCTGTGATTCTTCCCGGTGACTTCTGGAGATATCTAGCAGTCTTGTTTTCTATGATTCTTTGTATTTTCTACATAGATAGTCTAGAGAGTCTGATAAGCCCACTGGTGATCTAGTTTCAGGGCTGAATGTATCCCTGAAAAAGGACATAAATCATTATGGATTGATTTTGGATGAAATTGTAGATAATCAAGAAACAAACCAAAACCATAAAAAGCCCAAATGGAGAAAAAGTTCCCCATCTATTATATTCCCTTGCTGTATTTTAAGTTTCAGGGACAAATCCATCCTGCCATCATGCAACAAATCTCCACACCCTCATAAAACCAATATAATGAGCGGAACATGGTAGCAAATCCTCTGGGTTTTGTTTTAGTTTGGAAGGCATTAAAGAAAAGTGTTGTGCAGAGGGAATGGAAATGCTGCCCGGGTGCCAATTCCACAAGGGCGTGTTCTTCTAGAGCCAGGTATGTCACTCAATGAAAAGCAGTCAGTGTTCAGCTCCTGCCACGGTTTGGGGGTTAGCCAAAGAGGTTGGAGAGGGGTGGCTGGAAGGAGAAAGGAGCCTGGTATTTTTCACTGCCAACTTTCTGCTTTTTGTCCAGCTTCCTCTATACAAATGACATCTGAAATGCAAGCTGGCCCCTTTCCGTTATGGAAACCTCAAACTGAATTTAATAGTAGGGGCTTATATTCAAGTGTCCCATAAAGTGTTGTAGAAATTGTATCATCACTGGAGCATTTTGTGGTGTGGTCCAATCTCTTCAACATGAAACTTTCCCCATCACAGAATTTTAGACTAGCTGAAGTGATTTGGACGCATCTTCTGTTCACTCATATAGACATACTTTTATTAAAAATTATTATTACTTCAAAAATCATTATTAATTCACTGCTTTACATCTTGTGAACAGAGTGAGAACCCATTCTTCTAGACAGAGGCTAAGCAATAACTACATCCCTTGAGGCTGTAAATTGGTGTACATAGCAATTAATGAACGTACAATGGTAAATCGGTGAGGAACCCAGACAAAGCATGGCAGTGTTCAAACTGTAAGGGAAAGATCAGCCAGCAGATAAAGGAGAACAACTCAGCACCTTCCCAGCTTGGTCTGGTTGTAGCTTGGGCTCAGAACAGGCAGCGCATAGATGGCACTGGATGTTGGCTGCTGGACTGAGCTGTAGTTTGACATGTGTCAATGATACTTAATTACTAGGACAATGGATGCATCTCAGTGCTTCAGTCAGTTTTGGAAATATCAAGTACTGGGGCATTTTCCCTCCCTCTTGACATCCATAGGATCTGAGAGCAATTTTCCTGCAATACCACTCAATCCCTATGGAATCCCACTGCTTTCACCCTTATTACGTGCCAGAAGACTTTCCCACAAGGGTTTAATCTTTTTCTGCCTTAACTGAGAAATCTGTGGAAACAGAAAAAGCACAAGACAGACTAAAGAAGAAAGAAAACACAGTCGGGAATTGTTCAGCCTTGTTCCAATATGCCCTGTCTCCCTACAGCTGAGATTCTTCTGAAATTCACTGGTACTAACTAGCATTCATCACTCCAACCCACAGCAATTTACTGGTGGCGATTTTCCGCTTCCAGCTGGTGACTTCCTGACCTCAGAGGTTAAGACAATTTTTATTCATGCTACTGAACTTGGCATCTGAATTTTAATGTCATGCTTTTTGCCTCCCCGCCTCCCTGTTTTCCTGGTGGAGGCTTACAGCCTGGAGAATATTTTCAGGGGAAATGGAGAAGCAATGTGCCATCCCCAAAGCATGACAGTACAACATGGCAAAAACATTGCCACACAGTAGTGAGAGCCTCATATTTTCAGGTGAGGGTGATGTTGCTGGGAGAAACTGCAAGCCAGATGCCTACATTCTTAGGGTTGAGTTCAAGTGGGTCCCCCATTGAAAAAAATATTTTCTATAGTTTTTAATTTATCGCAACCAACAGAGAGCCATCATTTTGTAGTTCAGTTGTCTGATGTCTTAGGTATGGGTGGAAGAGATGTGACTGTACATAGCACTCAGCAAACATTAAGAAAAAAGTCCCAATAAAAGATGGAAACAAGTTCTTTTTATGGTCTCATTCAGTCATCAGGGAGCAATGAGCAAAAGTGACAGGTAGACGGCCATCATACGATCATTCGCTGTGTAGCAAAACACAGGCAGACTTAGACACTGATTGAAATGGGAGCTTGATGACTAAATATCTTTGCTGAGCTGCAGTCATGGGTTTCAAGGTACTCTATCAGGCCAGTATTCTCATAAAGTCCTTTCCAAACACTGGGAAAAAATCCAAACACTTGAATGACCTTTCCCTGACTCATCTTCTGTTCCACCTTACCCTTGTCCACAGTCCCCTTTAAGTAAGGTCTTAATCACTGACGATAAAGAACTTCAAGCACTCCCAACTCAGAAATAGGCTGGGTATATTTACATTTGTTTATTCAATACTTGGTAATGAGGCCGAGGATGGCTGACTGCCATCAGTCACAACATATATTGTCAACATCACACAAAAAGGGTATGAAACTTCTCTTCTGCCACTGTTGTCCTCTACTTAATGCCTTTGTGTGTTTCTTCTTTTATTTATTTATTTATTTATTATTTTTTAATTGGTGTCATGCTCTTCAGCATCCAGAGTTCTTATCTGGGAATGTACCAGTATTTCTGCAACCCAGGGCAAAGCTGTCAACACTGCCTGCCTTTGTTAAGCTGTACCAAAATATAAAGAACTGAGGTCTGAAAATTTCTTCCTTCTCTGAGATGTCCATGTTGCTGACACCACTTGCCCAGCCATGGGTGTCATTCAAGACCAGCACTTTCTGAATTCGGCAGATTTTTGTGAAAGAAAAAGCCTGAGCAACAACAGCAACAGTTACTAATTTTTGTCTTTCACACTAAACAGAAGATTCCCTTTCTGTGTTAAAGCAGAGTCTCTGAAGCTGTGAATTTGAAATGAAAACATCCATCTATGTCTCCATGTGTTGCCCTGGCCTCCCTCTCTGCTCCAGAGTAGCTGAATATCAGAACAGATCAGCCCTGGCAAGAGAAACAAATGCCCCAGAGTTTGGATGGGGATCATTCAAGCTTTGCTGATACCGATTGAGAACAATACAAACAAACAAGCAAACCCAAGAGTCTGCTGGGAGAGAGGAGTAAGCTGGCCCTGAAGACTCCTTCAGTTATTTTCTTACTCATTCTAGGTATCCCTGGTAAATTAATCTCCCAAAATGTTTCCTTCACTGTGGACATGTCTGCAGGCCAATGTCAAGGCATGAGTCGGTGTCTTTGGGAGTTACCAGTGTGGCTCTTCACATGGTGAAGGAAGAACCAAGCTAGAACTCAGACAGAAGGGTAAACTAATAAATTCCCCTCTCTGAGATTCATGAATTTCAGCACAGTGAAGCCTTCTCCATATTTTCTTTCTCTGCTTTTACGTTTCTGTCCTTCCACTGCTAGCAAGAGTTCTCTGAATTTCCATTATTTTGAAAATGGTTAGCTTTGGACATGCTTTGTTATTAACTTTCACCTGGTGCTGTCATTTAAGCTAGAGCTAAATGGGTTGTCATGCACTCAGAGATCAGCATAAATGCCCTGGCATCAAAGGTTCATGGCCACAATAACCCAGGCTGCTTCTGAAAAGACGCAAGGATCAAGTCCATTGCGACGCAAATGTGGCCGATTCCCTTGCTGGTGTTTTGTTTCTGTCTGGGCTTAGAGAGGGGAGGCTGAGGACAAGAAAGGAAATGTTCTGTGGGAAGATGATCTGGCATTTTTTCTCATTCTCCCCACACACGCATTCCAGAGAGTTACACACCAGATAAGCAGCAAGCACTGTTTGGCTGGCTAACTACTGCACAAGCATTATGGACCATCTGGGGACTTACAAAGCCTGCAGGATATGAGTAGAGGTTGTGCTGGAAGTAGAGGCTGAGCTGGTATCCTGTGTCTAAATACCAACACAGCTGCTTGGAGCAAGAAAGGGGAACCCTCCAAAGGAACAGCAGTAGGGGCTCTTCTTTAGGAAGGATATTACTCTTGAGTAATTGAATTGATAGTGACTCCTCCATTTGAGCCTGTGAAATAAGATTCCCTCCAACAAAAGGAGCTGGGGGGGGGGGGGTAGACAGCAGCAGACCCAAAGGCTACTATTATTATTGTTGTTGTTAATGCCCTTGCTATTATTTTATTTCTTAAAGAGCCTTTGAAAGTGTTCTTCAGTATCTTGAGATGTGTGAACTCCATATAGCATGCTGGCCCTGGAAAAGAATCAGCGTGCTTCAGCTGAAGGGAGGCTGGAAAGATAGCATTTTCCCACAGACTGAGGAGAACCAGCTTGTTGGCTTCCACCAGGCAGCCGTGTTTTGGGACAGGAATGCCATGGGTACATTTTCTCGTGAGCTTTTAACAGGTGAACCGGGCTTACCGGGGCGGAGGAGTCACCCCCAAAAACAAACACATGTATGAGCTTGTGGTGTTTTATGGACAAGAGATATACTCAGGGCTCTGGGGTGGAGGGAGTTAGATCTCAAACAAACAGGGTCTTTAGTCACGTCTGGAGACCTTGTTAAAATTCTTTCTGCTTGCAAATCCCTCTAATAAAAGGGAAGCACGCTTACC